TGTGTGTGTCTCTTTTTTTTCTGGGGGGAGGGTTCTAGATTCCCTCTCTGCTCTCTCCCTTGGTAGATGGAGTTGCAGAAGGCAACGTCTTCCCTACATCCATAATTGTCCTAAACCTTCACAAGTACCACTGCAGGCATACTGCTCTGTTTGTGCATCTTACATTCATTTCCTTTGCACACACCTGGATTTTCTCCAGACTGCTAAGAAAACCCACCCTGTTTTAAGCCCCGGCGAGACCCCCCCCCCTCTGCCTCGCCTCCTTCAGCCGAAGAATTTTTGCAAGTTGTGTTGACTTAGCAATGATGCACAAGAACAATCGGGAGCATTGCCTGTGCTTGCCCTAGTAATTATTTCTGGAACCTGGGTGAGGGGAGGAGGGGAAACACCTTGGATTAAATTTGAAGATTTTGGACTCTCTTTCTCACAAGGAGCACTTGGGTTGGGGGGGAGAAACGATGGTTTTGGGACGCCTGTGTAGAAGATTGTGGGTTTGTGCATCCAGCAGCTAGTGGGCTGGGGCATATCTCTGCTTTTGAGCCCGCTAATTTGTTCGGAGGTTAATATATTATTTGTTTTTGACTTCCTGCTGCGAACCTGCAACCGGATCTGATTTTGTTCCCTTAGGAGAAGGCAAGGAAGAAATAGAAAAAGTGACTTTCGATGACTTGAGGCACCAGGTGGCTTTCTACGCTGCGGCCATGAGGAAGTTGGGAGTGCAGCCCGGAGACAGGGTGGTGGGTGAGTCCAATTTTTCCTCCTTCCAGCAATTCTTCTTTCAATCAGGATATGCAAACCTCAAATCTTGACCGCCTTAAGAAACTCCGCAGAGAAATGGATAGACTAACGTTAGAGATTAAAGAGAAAGAAGATTCAGTTTATTTCAAAACATGGGAATTTTTTTTTTTTTTTATCAATGGTTAGCAATGCGATAGAACGAGAAAAGACGGTGAAGTTTTACAGGATGAATGATATTTATTAACTAAGCTTTACTTTTATGATTATTGTTATTAGAGATTATAACTGTTTAGCATTATACTAGCTGTACCCAGCCACGCGTTGCTGTGGCTCAGTCTGGTAAAAACGTGTGTTGCTTTTACGTTCCAACAGATGGTGCTGTTTTTCAAAAAAAGCATGTTTTTACCTGTCACAGGTGTGACATCTATATAATATAGATATATAAAAACACGCGCGTATTCAAATGCAACGTTGTGTCAAAATTTCAAAGCAATCGGTGAAGAACTTTCGGAGATTTAAGATTTTGAACAAACGAATATTTACATTTTTATTTATATAGATTAATTAATTACTGTCGTTTAATATTTGTATCCGGACGATAGTCTGCTTGCTAAAGCGTTGAATTTTTTGTTGGGGGTAACCCCACTATTGCACCTACCCCTACCCTTATTCCAACCCCATCCCCTAACCCAGGGGTAGGCAACCTTGGCTCTTTTATGACTCGTGGACTTCAACTCCCAGAATTCCTGAGCCAGCATAGCATAGCTGGCTCAGGAATTCTGGGAGCTGAAGTCCACGAGTCATAAAAGAGCCAAGGTTGCCTACCCCTGCCCTAACTTCACCCAATATCCATACCGATCTTATCCCTTCCCTACCATTATAAAACTAAATAAAACATTTATATATATATATATAAAAAAAGAAACTGCAGAAAGGAATGCACGGAATAGGTCAGTGATGGCGAACCTTTTAGCGACCGAGTGCCCAAACTGCAACCCCAAAACCCAGTTATTTATCGCAAAGTGCCAACACGGGCAATTTAACCTGAATACTGAGGTTTTAGTTTAGCAAAAACAACTCCTACATTAACATCTTTTGCCTTAAAAGAAAAACACAATGACAAAGCTTTCAATGATACAAACAACTTTTTACTGAAAAGTAAAAGTTTGCATTTGGGATGCTTTTGAGCAATGAATGTGATTTTTGCTGCTGTATGCATGCTGATCATTTGTCTAACCTTGGCTTATACTTTGTAAGTTTGAGAGCAACACAGACAGCACTCAGGTCAGGAAAAAAAGAATGTGGGATCCTCAGTGGTCTCCGAGCGTGGTGGTTTTCTTGCAGACATTTCATGACCCATTTAGGTAACATCAGCAGTGATAGAAGGGAGTGGGATTTGCAAGGAGGAGGAGGAGGAGGAGGAGGACTGTGGGGTCCTTGGTGCTCCCTGAGCTTGGTGGTTTTCTTGCAGTCATTTCATAACCGAACTAGGTAACCATGCACTGATGATGTTCCCTAATTAGGTCATGAAATGTCTGCAAGAAAACAGCCAAGCTCAGAGAGCACCAAGGACCCCACAATCATCATCNTTCTCCCTCGCAACCCCCAGACATGGCTGGTCCTGACCTAAGGGGAACCTCCCCCCTCCCATCCACCCTGGGTCCCCCTAAAAATTTTTTAAAACACCCCTGTAAAAACTTTCTTAATTTAAATAATTTAGATAATTTTTTATCCATGGCCGCTGCATGCCACCTCTCGGGGTTCCACACCCCATCCTTGAGGTAGGCCACCCCATCCTTGAGGCATCACATGTCCGCAATTTGCAACCTTCCCCACTAATTTTGCACGACAGGGGCCAGCTGGGGAGGTCACAAAGGGCAATTACAGGATGCTGTGGCCGTCGTAAATGCGTGACGATTGTCAAATTTTATCATGTGACTGGCGAAATGCGGCAGGCATAAGTGTGAGGACTGTTGCAAGCTTACTTTTTTTTACTGCTGTCATAACTTCAAACGGTCGCTAAACAAACTGTCATACGTTGGAGACTATCTGTAGTCTTCTTAGTAGAAGGCAGCTAATGCCTTCTTCCAAAGCACCTTTTTTTTTAAAAATGTGCCCATCCGGTTGGATTTCCTGGTGGTGCCCCATCCCGGTAGTAACCCAGTCTGATCCTGTTTTTTTCCCCAGGGGGGGAAAAAATGCACCCTTCTAGCTGAGCGTAATGGAGCCCACCCCCAAGATGGCGAGGAGGGGCAGAGAAAGACCCTCATAATATTGATCCTTTGTGCCCTTACATCAGGGGTCGCCAATCTTTCTGGATTGGCGGCCCGGTGGGAAAGGGAGGGACTCGCACCTTTATGCGCGCATGCACACAGACACAAATGGGGCTGCGTGCGTGCGGCATGCTGTGAGCATGCGCGCTCTGCAAATGGGGCTGCTAGCGCCGGCGAGAGGCTCACGCCTCAAGTAGTGCCGGTGCGTGCCTCACTTAGCGCCGGCGCAAGGGCAAGGGGTGACCACGCGCATGAACGCCACTGAACGTGGCCTGGTGGCCAAGAGGCCACGGCTGGTAGTGGGCCACGGCGCATAGGTTGGGGACCTCTGTCTTACCTGACTGCAGAGTCTTCTGTTAAGGATGCTTGACGTGTCTCCACCAGGTGATTGATCCCTCCAAGGGCGTCACCGATGTTCCCGAATGGTTTAAAGGCAGCCGTCTAAACTACGCCGAAAACCTCCTGAAGCATGAGGAGAACGACAAAATCGCCCTCTATGCCGCACGTAAGTCCCCCGTGCGAATCATCGTGACCACCGGATCTACGACTATTCAGATCTCTCTCTTTCTCTCTTTCTCCTCTTCATCTTCGTTATCATCTTAGTGGGAATAATTTCCCAGTGTTATCTTTTAGGGCCCCCGCCCACTCTGGTTTACAGGGCGGGATTTCCTTGTGGTCTCCCATCCCTGCCTCCTTTTTTTTTTAAAAAAAATATCTCCAGCATTCCTCCACCCAATCCAACCGGTCTTTCGTTAGAGGTTGCAGGAATACTTCACGCCTCTCCAAAACCTCTCAACGTTGTGGGTGCTGGAGTTGTGTG